AGCTTGATTTGATCGTTGATAAGATATAGTCTCCATTTGTCAACGAAATATTCACTTAATTCTTTCATTAATTTTTATTCTTAAAACTTGAAATATTTATTTCATTAATACAAACTTAAAGCCAAAATATTTTTTTTAAACTTCAAATCAATTAAATAAATGTTTACCTTATTAATCTCGTAAGGTAAGAGCCCCCATTATTGACACTATAAGAGTGACGGCGAACATTTGAATTTTTTAACCGTATTCAAATTAATCTGACTAATTTTTTTTTGTATTAGACACTTTTTTTGATTCATCAACTTGTGTATTTTAATTTTTATACTTAAATAGTCGTTAATTAAATAACAAATATATTAATTTGAAATCTGCAACTCAAGTGTAGGTATTATTGACAGGGTGAAATTGTATCGGAGCCAACTATTGACACCCATAGACCCTATTATTAATAATAATAGTTTCTTTATTTAGCTTTAAGCTACAATATATACATAAAAATTATATAAAAGATCTTAGATCTTTTATTACAGATCAACACTTGCTTCCCGTCTACATTTAAAATTTTTCCTTCTCTTATTTCTTCTCTTAACAATTTTTTAAAAATTACTAAATTTCTTGCATTTTTTGTGTCTATATTTAACTTGTTAAATAATGAAAAACCATACATATTTATTGTTTTTTGAGCACTCACAGTTCTTGTTCTTTGTACCAACAATCTATTTTTGTATCTTGTACTATAATTATGTTCATTCTCAACAACAATTCTATTTAAATATTCTGGTAACAAGTAATTTTTCATCTTATATACAAACACACACACATTAAATTTAATTCTTTCTTCAACAGCCAGAAAACATAGTACATCTAGCATACATCTAATTGGCGTATATCTATTTACTCTTAATATTATTCTCATCGCTTTATTCTGACATTTTTGTAATTTTTTCACACATTCCTCATTAATATTAATCAAAAGAGTTGAACAATAGTCAAAATACGGAGCGATCATCGATTTGTAAATTAATACTTTTGTGTAATCACTTACATAACTACTCAGTCTGTACATCAAATTAATTCTAATATTAATTTTTTTAATAATATAATATGTATGACTATCAAAACATAAGAATTCATCTAGCATTACGCCTAAGTATTTAGTTTGACTACATTGCACAATCTTTTCCCCTGCTAAAAACAATTCTAAACTTTTAACATTCCTTTTTCTTCTATCTCTAACTAGCATAAAAACAGTCTTCTTAACATTTGGTTTAAGTGAATTAACATTAAGCCACACTCCAAGATCCTCTAGTGTCTTATTTAAAACATTTTCTAATTCTGTTTCATCCTTAGCGCTGTAATATAACATCTTATCATCTGCAAATAATTTGCATTGACAGCCATATTTTTTTGCAATATCTACAACATCGTTTATATATAAAATAAAGAGCAAAGGCCCCAAAATAGACCCTTGCGGCACACCGTGATTAACAGAAATCTTATCGGAGATAGCCTCACCAAATTTGACTTGTTGAGTTCTATCATTTAAGTAACATTTGAACCACTCCAGTGCACTACCACTCACACCATACATTTTTAGCTTTTTTAACAATCTATTTCTATCAATTGTCTCAAATGCTCTTTTAAAATCTATAAAAACTACTCCTATCATATTGCCTTGATCTATCTCATTTCTCCATTCACACATTGTTTTTTGTAATGCTGTTTCACATGAATGTTGTACTCTAAAGCCAGACTGTTCCTCTTTTAAAATATTATTGCTATCAAGATGTTCTATTAATCTATTTTTAACTACTTCTTCTAATATCTTTTCTAATTCAGGTAGGGTGTTAATCGGTCTGTACTATTCTGCCTTATTAGTACCCTTAACTTTAGATATCGGGTGAATCAATGAGTTTTTCCATTCTCTCGGGATTTCTGATGACTCTAAACTACAATTAATCAACTTTTTAATTATAATTTTATCTACACTCCATATTTTACTGATTATATCATAAGACAATATATTTCCTTTACCTTTATTTTTATCTAAGTTTTTAATTATAGAATTCAATTCCTTCTCATCAACTTCTATTAACTTATAAAGTTTTGTCACTGATTCACCATATCCAAAGTCATCAACAATATAATTATACTTATCAATATGATTAACAATTTCATCAACACTTTGAACAAAATACTTATTAAATTTATCAGCAATAACTGTAGCTTCTTTGATTAGTTCATTACCAAAAACAATTTCTAATTTAGTTTCTACTTGACTTTTATTTCCTAATATAGATTTCATATTTTTCCACAATTTTTTTGAATTACCTTTTTGAGAATCGATCAAATTCTCATAATATTCTTTTTTTACCTTTCTTATTTCATTTACTACAGTATTTCTAAGACTTTTGTAATTTTCCCACGCTTCATCACAATTATCCTTTTTAAAAACTCTATAAGAATTATCCCTCATACTTATCAAATTTTTAATATGGCTATTAAACCATCTATTATTCTGCCATTTATTTTTAATTACATATTCTTTCACTGGAGCTACTGAATCTATACTATTAACATGTGTTATTGACAGGTGTCAACCCTATTATTCAGGTTTAATTGAAATTTAAACTTCGAATATAATTTATTATTTACTAGTAAACAACAATATTTTGCTCAGACAATTCTTTTTTTATTATAAAATTACACGAGACAACATGTAAACAAATCCGCTATGTATGTTAAAGAGGTTAAGTTTCTTAAAATTGTAGGCTGTCGCTAGTTAAACACATGTTAATTTTTATGTACCTACTATTGACACCTGCTATTTTTAAATCATACTTAAAATTTATCAGCTTAAAACAATAAATCTAAGATTATTTAAAGTTTAAATAACCTCAAATAATTTTGGATGATAGGCGTTATCAGAATTATATAGAAAATTTCGCTATTTAAAATACGCTCTCTCTTAGCGAAATTGTTAAGAAATTTTAAATAAACTAGCCGTAGTGGTCTACTCGAAAAAAAAATAAAATTTTTTTGCCGTTAATAATTAATACCCAGGCATAAAATTTTACTTTTTTCTTACTAAAAAATTTCTAAAAATTGATAAAAAGCAATGTTTATTGTGATTTAATCATAAAATTGATTAAATAATCAATAAAATAAAACAACATATCAATAATAGGGGCTTTTACCTTACCACAATAAAGTGAATCTTCACTAAAAATCCAAAATCCAAAAGATTAGACTATAAACTACAACGTCTTATAAATAACTTTATCTGGTTTATCTACAATTTGAGACGAGAAAAGCATATTACTTCTTTGAGACAGTCATTAATCTGGCTTACGATTAAGTCTAAAAGACGTTACTGTCTAGCTTGTTTTCTTTACAAACTCTTCAATAGTAGTAAGCCAAAGTCTCTGAGAAATCTTTTTGAGGAAGAACCTCCAGATATTAGAAGGTCAGAGAGAATAGCAGCTAAAAACAACAACATCACGTTCAAAATTCCAAATTTTTCAACCTCAGTATTTGAACACTTTTTTGTGATATCTGCAATCAGATTTTGGAAAGAACTACCAATTGAGATAATAAACTCGCGTAGCTATGATATTTTTAAAACCGGTGCCTATAAATTCTTCCTGAATCAGGAAAAAGAAGGCTAACTACAAATTTCAAATAAACAATCTGAGCCTAGACCATCAAATTAACTTATTAGATGTAAACTACTGTCAATATTGTGCTATATAGGGAAATGTAACATGAGCCAATTCATATAATTAATATTCTGATTTATATTTTGATCTATTTCTTCAAAATATTTATACACTAATGTCAAATTATCTATTTGCCACCTGGGTTGACAACTGCAGATAGTCTTCCTGAATTTCAAAATGCCTCTTTTTCATTTTTTCTGGTTGATGACAATTAAAATCATCATTATATTTGTTTAAATAATTATAATTTTTGCTTTCAAAGTATTTTCAGAGTGTTTATGAATTTACTAATTAGCTACTGTATTAAGTAACTTTATTGTATTAGGTAACTTTAAAATCTTGCTCTCAAAATTATAGAACTATTGTAATTGTATTTTAATACTGTATACTTGTATATGTATAAAAATGTATTGCTTATTGATGACCTTGAGGGAGCTTCGGCTCTAAGGACAAATAAAATATATCTATCTATCTATCTATCTATTTGTATTAAATAAGGGCTAGTACCTACTACTATTATTTCACGTATAACTTTTTCCTTGTTTTTCTTATTAAATTTGGAATTACGGTATAAATTAAATTTTAAATTTCTTACGTGTACTTTAATGAAATTACCATGCATATGTTTGCCATTCGACCAATGCCTTGGCATCGAATTAATTTAAATAAATAAATAAAAATTATCCCTTAAATTCGCTTAGTTTCTTTATAATAAAAATTTTAAAATTAAAACCGAAGTGTGAACGATCAAGCAGTCATTGAGCTCGTTCAGCCGAAGTAAGTTCTGTGTAAACTTAATTAGCTTAAGTATAGTCAAAGCATTCCTACTATACATATATATATATATCCTATATACTATACATATCTTACTAAGTTTACTCAGGATTTAGTTCGGCTAAACACACTCATTGTTGTTTTGATCTGTTGCAACGTTTAGTCAATAATGGCGCTATTGCGACTTCTATGACATCATCTAAAGCGCCACTATGGCTATTTTTGAATAGTAACTTCTAAATATTGACACATTTTTTTATTATTAACCCTGAATTCAAACACAAATTATTAAGAAATTACGCAATTAAAACTTAACATGTGACGCTTATTTCTTCTTTAGTTCTCTACTCATATATTATTAAGAAATAAACAGCTAAATTCGAAAAAATAGTCTTTAGTATGCTGCAAATCGTTATAAAATGTAGAACAGCTTATTATCAATACAGCAATGAATGCGAAAAAAAAAAACTATTTCGAAGCGAATAAATGTGAACTTGGTTCGAGACACTTCCGTATTTCTTGGAGTAAATTTTCTTCTTTCTTCAATAAAACTCTATAAAACTATAAACTTGTTTGATAATTTTATTTGAATAAATTTTAGACTGAAATTTATCATAAACTTTTTGTTGCAGAAATTCGTTATAGGAGAATTAGACAAAAAAACTTATACTTATGATCGAAATATGCCATTAATATTCATCGGTGGTGTTCCACGATCAGGGACCACCTTAATGAGGGCAATGTTAGACGCTCATCCAGACGTGAGGTAAAAAAAAATTTTTCTTTAACAAAAATAATTAGATCATAATGAAATGAATGATAAGCAGTTTATCGTTAAAACTTGGCACTCAATAAATTATAATGATAACACTGATGAATTATTACAGATGTGGACAGGAGACAAGAGTAATTCCACGGATACTCCAGATGCGGTCTCACTGGCTGAGATCAGAACGTGAAAACGTCCGTTTATCAGAAGCCGGTATATCTAAAGAGGTAAGTTTATTAATTAATTAATTACTTCAATAAGTTCACTAAACTCGTTAAAACTTTGTGTATTCGTATAATTAACGCGTGGTTACTCCTGTTAATTAATAAATGTTTTTTTTTTTTTTTCATTAATATTTTTTTTCTTCATCAGGTTTTAGATAGTGCTATTGCAGCATTTTCCTTAGAAGTTATTGCAAGACACGGTGAACCAGCACCCCGGCTGTGCAATAAAGATCCTCTGACACTAAAAATGGGCTCTTATATACTTGAATTATTTCCGAATGCTAAATTTTTATTTATGGTTCGAGATGGCCGTGCTACCGTTCATTCCATTATTTCCAGAAAGGTTCGTTTTTTTATTGTTCATTATTTATTATTTATTGCAAGCCTCGATCAGAAATAATCATTTATAAGTTAGTTAATTAAAAATATGGATAATTTTACTTTTTCTATTTCTTTAAATAAAGCGCCATCAAGCGTAGTTAGTAATAATTAAAATTAACAACCGTGCGATGGCGGTCAATAATGGTCAAATTGATACTTTTAGATCATTTGAAAAATTAAATTGAATAAACCGTAAAATAACGGGCATTTTATCATTTATATGACTTTTTTAGCGAAAAAAATATTTTATTATTTTGAACCAAGTAGAAAAATCATTGAATTAAAAACATCATAAGTGCAATTTTAACTGCCTAGGTATGGAATTAGCGGAAAGTTGCAGGGATGGCCTTTAGGATTAACCGTTTTCCTACTTTTTTTTTTTTTAATTCGCTTAAAATTGCTCTTATGACATTTTTGAGCTCTTCGAGCTTGAAGATTTCATTATTCTAAACTTTCGAGCTCAAAAGTCTGATAGGAGTTTAATAAAATAACACTATTATTTAAACTTTTAAACAGCAATTACTTTTGAATTAATAAATTGATTTTCACGCGGTTGGTAGCATTCAACGTAATTTTTTAAATTCTATGAGATACTTTTAAACACAAATTGATCAGACTGGAAATTTCAATGTAATTCGAAAAAATCACTTTTTTTCGATTTTTTTCGTCAACCATAACTCACGAACAAATCGACCGATTATGACGGGACTGGCTGCAATCGACGTGATCTTTCATGTTTAAGAGTGGATTAGTTTTTGGGATTGATGGAAAATTTTATTTTCAAAATTTCTCAGAATCTAGCGAATGAAATCAATTCAAATTATTGCAAAATTTAAAGGCAATGATATGCTTTAGATCGCCACTCATCTTGATCCGATCAGTTAATTCGTTCAATGGTTATAAGAGGTTTACACACAGAAAAAAAAGATGATTTAAAATTTGCACCACAAATGATTTAAGGGGGATGGCCACTGTGAAATTTCCAAAAAAATAAATTTTTTTTTTTCTTATTAAATCCAAGTTTATAGATTCATAAATAAGTATCTAGAATTTGGTATCAAAATTCCGAATATTTTCCGAGTTATAGTCATTTTTGTGACAGCGCGTCAAATGACTTTACACGCGCGGCACTCCGACGAAAACGCGTTTTTCTCGAAACTACTTTTTTTGAACTGATGAGAACTGTAATTTGCATAAATATGAACCGATTTGCAACTTTTTTTTCCCCCGTATTCGTCTATTCAATAGCTATAGTTGCACGTAGGGGATTTTGAAAATTTTGATTTTTAAGATTTTTTAGGGTTGTTTGAATCCAAAAAAATGAGGAAAAAAAACGAAAAAATTTTTAATATGTCGCCATTTTTTTTTAAATCCAAATTTTCAAAATCCCCTACGTGCAACTGTAACCACATGTATGCAGATTACAACGCTCTTTCGTTTTTTCGTTTTAGATAATCCGTTTTTGAGTTAGAGATCTCATCAGGGAGGGGGAAATTTTTTTGGTGCTCCACAAAAATGCTAATAACTTTGTGACAACATGATATTTTTTAATAAAAATTTAGGGGAATTATCTTTAATGTATACTTTATAAAATAAAAAAAACCCGATCCCTGAATTCCTTTACTATCCCAGTCAAAAAAATTCCCGAAAATCACCTATTTCTTCGATCCTCACAGTGGCCATCCCCCTCAAAAATCCGATTGTACGAATGGTGTTATTTTTGGATTGAGGTGATTCAAATATTGTGTTAATGTGATGTAGATTTTACACCACAGTGAAGTAAAGTATGCGTGCCCTACACGCATGCGCATGCGAGTTATAGGTTATATTTGTTGTTGATGTTTCGTGTCGTATGTATTTTTTGTTGCTTTAATCAATCAAGTAATTAATTAAAAAATATATATTCATGTTAATTTTAGGTTATATATTGACAGCTAATACCATTGACTTGTGACAGCCACTAGTCCACTAGTACCACTTGTCCACTAGTCCACTAATCCCATTTAAAATACATTAGATACAAAAATTGTATCACTGGGTTATGTAAATTTGGGTTCACCTCTGTTGACTTCACAGGTGATACAATTTTTGTTTCACCTGATGAAATTCTAAAACACACATACACACACACACACCATCGCGGGGATAGTCAGGAAAGCTGCCTAGATTATAGATTGATTATGTATTTACGTTTGTCTTACATTGTTGTTAATGCGGAAAATTTGAACATTTTACATTGAAATTTTGCCCATTTTACATTGAAATTTTGCTATTGAAGTTTTATTTAATGTCAAAGAATATACTCAACGCCATTATATATTCATTCTCGTTTATAAATTCAACAACTACTTTATATTGGTTTGAGGGAAAATCATCTCCGAACTCCTCTGTTGGAAAGAGATAAGCTTCATTTCCGTATACACCCTAAAAATATTTAGAGAAAATTAATAATAATCAATGATAAATACGAGCAAGCTTACATCAATTTGTAAAATTGACTAAACTACACAGAAAAAAAAATAGTTGAACAAGTAGCCTTATACTAAGTATTTAGAAATAGAGAAAGTTTCAACTGATGTCTCTCAATTTTAGAACTTAACCATTTTTTAATTATGATTTAAAGGCAACAACCTCACACTATAATTCTTTATGAAAAAATTTTCGAATTTAAAATTTTCTTTACAATTATTGATTGATATATTAGTGGCCAATCCTTGCAATAGTTAAGTTAAGAATTAAACTGTCTTGATAATTTCCAACTAATAATAGATCCGAAAGTAAAAAAGTAAGTAATGCTTCCAAATTATATACAACTAAAAATCCATTTTAAAACTGTAAAATTCCTTGTGATTGAAATAGTATATTACACTACAAGGGCAGAAAGCTTGAGATTCCTGCACTGCGCGCCATGATGCCCGAAGTGAAGTCAAGTTCAGGGCTCTCAAACTTCTGCCCGTGTAGTGTATTCGCTCCGTGGCCAACTTATACACTTACCTTTTCTATGCATTTGTTTAGTGTCTGTGAGTATCCGTGTTTCGTCATACAGTTCCGTCTTTTTAGGCAGAGGTCGCGTCTTATGGAAAATTACATGTAAATTATTCGTCACACAGTTCGGACAATCTATCACCTCTGGCGCTACCATCGATGGCCACGGAGCGAATACTATTTTTCTTTATACCTCGGTCGAAAGTACGCATCTTTTGCACCTATTTCGAGGCAAAACGTTAAAGATTCGTGTATTGGTGAAGCTACACATTCGCGCTCTGTAACAACGGGAGTAAAAAATTGATGATAGTACAATACAACTTGGTTATATTCCTTTCTCTCTTCTATTTACATGAAATATTTCATATATAGATATAACTGCCGTAAAAGTGAGTAGATCATCCGATGTAACTTATAACCAGGTTGTACTGTACTAAGATTCAGTTTGACAGTAACGTGTGTAAAATAGATCAACTTTATTTAATTAATGAATTATTTAAAAAAATGTACGCAGTAACAAAAATTTAATTTGATTATTATTAATTATTGTTAATTTTCAGATAATATGCTGGTTTTTTTTTATTTTTAACATTAAATATTTACGTACTTTCTACCGGCTATAAAGAAAAATAGTATACACCATACGGGCAGAAGTTTGAGAGCTCTGAACTGCGCACTATGATGCAGTGCAGAAATCTCAAACTTTCTGTCCTAATAGTGGTATATACTATATTCCTTAAAACCGAGACTCAGTTTCTTTACCATAAAAACTATAATCATTCAACTGCTCTTTTTTCCGGGTATATTCTAGGAATAATAAAAAAAGGAATGATTCTTACATCAACACTCTTATGAATTATTATTAATCAAATATTTTCAATGAATTATTAAAGCTAAAGTTTTACCGGTTTAGGTGGGCAATTATCATCAGTAAATCCCAACAAGCTTACAAAAGCTCCCGCCCCAAAGTCCAATATTTCACAAAAGGGTATTTGTATGCTGATTCCAGAGTCAATGATATATTCACCCATTGTTGCGCTTATTACTGCATAATATCCCTAAAAGTCGAAAATCTAATAGTTGATTTCATAATGCATCAATATTCATTAATCAAACATTTTAAAACCGTCAAAAAGTGAAAAGTTTTGATGAAAATTTTTAGCAAATCGACGGTACTTAGGTAAAACCTCGTATCTCTCATTTAAAATACATAGACGATACGAGGTTTTACCAAAGTACCGTCGAGATAGCTTAATAAAGCAATATGTCTAAACAAAATTTTTTTGGACTGTTAAAAAAAAGCAACACGACTATTTTTAACTTCCTGCTGAGAAAATTTTCAAAAATCGGGAAGTTATTGTTTTTACCTCGTTTTTCGAAAATCAAGTTTTTATCAGATCTCAACGTTTTGAGGCCCTTGGAAGATTCCGTGACAGGTCCCACGACAGTGTTTCTTCGAGCTCAAAAGTCAGGTAGAAGTTTCATAGAACAATATTTTTTTAATTTTCAAACCGCAATAACGTTTGAATGGATCAACCGATTTTCACGCGGTTGGCGGCATTCGACTCAGTTTTTTCAGCTTCATGAAGAATCTTCAAGTTTGAATTGATAAAACGAGGAAATTTAGAGTAATTCCGAAAAAACACTTTTCGGTTTTCTTTAGTTCACGATATCTCTTGAACGAATTGACCGATTTTGACCGGCTTGACGACGATCGACGTAATTTTTTTATGTTAATAGCTGAGTAGTTTTCGAAATTGATAGGTGAAGCCGTTTGAAAGTTATTCCGAAAAATGTCGGATTTATGGTAAAAAAAAACACTTGTTTCCAAATATTTCGTCGAGGATATCTCTTGAGCCAATCAACCGATTTCTACGTTCTTGGCGACGATCGACGCACTTTTTTTAGCTCTACAAATTATTGTTCGATATTACAAATTATTGTTTAGCGATCGACGTTGTTTTTCAAGGTTAAGGGTAGATTAGTTTTTGAAATTGATCCATCAAGCCGTTTAAAAGTTATTCCAAAAAAACCACATTAAAAAAAAAATTTTTTTTCACACACACACGCGCGCGCGCAGACACAGTGGCAATATCGCAGGGGTAGTTAGGGAAGCTTCCTATGACCTTAAAACGTCGAGATTTGATGAAAACTCGATTTTTGCAAAACGCGGTGAAAAAAATAACTTCCCGATTTTTTAAAATCTTAGATTTTCTTAGCGGGAAGTTAAAAAAACAATTAATACGGAAAATTAATAATTATTAATGTGATTTCTTACATCAGTTGTTGGTGGAAACTGTTTTTTTACCGTATAATTTAAAAATATTTTATCATCATCATAAGTGTATATGTCAGGTTCTGTTACATATTCTTCATTATAAGCAGTCGATTCTGCATACCTGATGGTTACTTCGACGGTACCCTTGGAAATCAACAATGCCATTAATTTTTTATATTGAAAAATAATTAGAAAAATCTTAAGTGATACATAATCTAAATTATTAAATAAATTTAAAGTACCTACCTGTACGCTAAAAAGTCGAGCTACCAAAATAGTCAGTACACTTATGATCATTTTTACGAGTAATTTATGACAACGAGAAACGTATTCAGATAATTTCTATAAAAATTGTAATTATAAGCTCTAGAAGCTATTACGTAAAGATTGCTACTGAAAAAGTAGAAGCTATCTAACAGTATAAATACTGAAGAATCTGCCGATTATTATGGAATAAATGACAGAAACTCATCACGAAATAATGCAATAAAAAGTCTATCAACTAATTAATCACACATTTAGTTCCGGCAATAGAATTATTGCAACAATGTAGAATTACATCAGCACAGTTTCCTTAGTTTCGATATTATCAAAAACTCTCGAACACAATTTTATTTTCAACTTCCCGCTTTGCAAGATTAAAAATCTAGAAAAAATTATTAATTTTTGTTACATTCTGAGAATCCAAGTTTTCCATAGAACTCTACATTCTTAGATCCTAGAGTAAAATTTAATTTGACTAATTTCAGTTAGAGAAATAATAACCAAAAAAGGTTGAAAAATCCGAAAATGCACGCTTCATAATGGGTGACAATCTTTTATTTCTCATGCAATAATTACCTACGACAAAATTTCTCAGCAAACATTTCTTATGCAATATTTTATTCTAGCAATATTTTCTCACACACACAAAAACCATGATCAAAAGGCCATTTTATTGTTGAACATATATAAGCAATTTCGTAAATGATGATTAATTTTCGTCAGATTAATTTATGTTGTGATAAATTTCGGTTTTAGAAATTATTGTGGTTGAAATATTTTTGTATGAGAAATTTTGACATGGGTAATTTTTGCGGATTAATAAAGGCGGGGAGCCGATATTGGTTGGTTATAATTAATAAAGAACTAAAACCGAGGTCGTTCGTAAATTTATCTGAGATAAAAATTTCGCGATGTATTTGAATCTAAAATTAAAGTAGCCTTCATAATGTTCATTCAACTTACAAGAAAAAAAAATAAGTCGTAATACTGACTTATTGCACACCTCATAAGCGAAGCGTTGAGGTTGTGCTCTACTCTCGACATTTCGAAAAAAGCAGTTTTCTCGAAACTGAAATTGATTTTTTGTTATTTATATCGCACTTACAGGTTAAAATGAGTACACTTATGTCAAGTCAAATAATTTTTCAGGCACATAAAATATATTTCAATAACAATTTTTTTGTTTAACATAATAAATAATAACATTAAACATAATCTTTTTTGGACATCCGTGTATGAATGGGTGTATGTGACAGGGAAATTGATCGAAAAAATGATCGTACCGGAACAATTTTTTTTTTATTATCTAAAGTAACACACAACGGATTTTCTTAATTAACATGAGCGTTCAATTCACTGCCGTTAAATTATTATTTATAAAAAACTAATATATGACAGTGGATATTTTTGTATTTCTATCTAGACATTTTATTTTAGTATTTTTTTCCTCACCTTGCAGTTATGGCATCACTAAACCATAACAGTGTTTTCTGTTTTTTATTATTTTACTTTTTATTGGATTTTCCAAACTTTTTGTACTATATGGACAACTTAACAAAGTAGGAATATCTAATAATCCAACCATTGCTGTATGGAACCAGTTAATGTCATTCTGAAGCTTCTAATAAATACTTTGTCTCAATACATCAATTTTTTCAGAAGTTATCGAGACTTTATACAAAAAATGGTATACAGACATCCGCAAATCCACGTAAAATTTTTTTTCAAACAATTTTTTTTAAACTAGCAACACAAAATGATTTTTAACTTCCTACTAAGAAAATTGAAAATTTAGAAAAATCAGGAAGTTATTGATTTTACTCCGTGTTGCAAAAATCGAGTTTTCATCAGATCTCGACGTTTTAAAGTCACAGAAAGCTTCCCTGACTATTCCCGCAATGTTGTCACTATGTATGTGTGTGAGCGTGGGTATGTGTAAACCTCTCATAACTTTAGGACGGCTTGACCGATTTCATCGCAGTTGGCTTTATTCGAAAGAGCTCGACTAAACTTAGATTTTGAATACCGATTCGGACCGGTAAATTTTGAGAAATCTCAAAAAAACTAAACGGCTTTACCGATCGATTCCAAAAACTAATCAGCTCTTAACATCAAAAAACCACGTCGATCGCCGCCAAGCCGGTCAAAAGCGGTTGATTCCTTCGTGAGTTATCATTGACAAAAAAAAATCGAAAAAAAGTAATTTTTTCGAATTACACCGGAATTTCTGATCTGATCAATTCGTGTTTAAAAGTATATCATAGAATTTAAAAAACTGCGTCGAATGCTGCCAACCGCGTGGAAATCGGTTTATTCATTCAAAAGTAATTGCAGTTTGAAAATTTGAATAATAGTGTTCTATAAATCTTTTTTTTTTTGAAATTACAAGCAATTTTTTTTTGAAGTTATAAACCAGAATGACGACTAAAATCAAGTTAATTTTTTATCAGAATAGGTAAACAAAAATAACAATTAGAAAAAGCACATAAGAGATAGTCCGTGAAAATGGTAACCCTCTAGCGAGTAAAAAAGAAGATAATACATGCCGCAAGTGAATTAGCTTAACCTAAAATTTTTGTCCACAGGTAACGATAACTGGATTCGATTTATCGTCGTATAGACAGTGTCTCACGCGATGGAATCACGCAATATCATTGATGTACGATCAATGCAAAGAAGTGGGTCCCAGCCGATGCCTGATGGTTCCTTATGAACAACTAGTCCTCCACCCACGTGATTGGATGAAGAAAATCCTTAATTGGCTCGATGTGCCCTGGAACGAATCCGTCCTCCATCATGAGGAATTCATCAACAAGCCCGGCGGCGTTCCACTATCCAAGTAATTCAATAACCTTAAAATTAATCTAATTATTCCCTTGTTTATTCACTAAGAATCCTTAACTAATATTATTATTATGTAACAGAGTTGAACGTTCTTCTGATCAAGTTATAAAACCCGTGAATCTCGAGGCTTTGACTAAGTGGGTCGGACAAATTCCTACCGACGTTGTCAAGGACATGCCAGACATCGCTCCGATGCTTTCAAAGCTCGGTTATAATCCTTATGAAAATCCTCCTGTTTATGGAGCACCTGACAGTGTTGTTAGCGATAATACAAGAAGGTATTTTTACTTATATTATTATAATTATTACTATAAATTTTTTATTCAATATAAATCTGTGAACTAAATCTAGAAAATTATCACGGTAATTAAATGTCAATATTATTTTTAAGTATCGTGTGCGACACATATTAATTTTTTTTTTATAATATATATATTCTTTTTTTTGCATATACAAAGTTATATCTCACAGAAATTTCAGTTTCTTGAAAAATCAACTTATGTTAAACGATATATAATTTAAATTTTTGTAAAATTTTTTATTTATTAAATTTTACGGAACATTAAATTTAATATTCTTATGGCTACTATCAGAAATTTATTTTTTTATGGGTCGTAAAAGAATTTTAAGGGGGTATTCTGGTCTAGAAGCGTAAATTTTAGGCATTTTTCAAACTAACATAAAAAAAAAAGGAAAAACATTTTTAGTATCCGTTTTTTTATATGATGTTTACTGACATTTTAAGAATACAAAAAAAAAATTAAAAAAATGAGAAATTCGAAAAATTACAGGTCGGTTAAGTGGGGGCTACAAAAAAAAAAAAACGGTGCACCCTGGTTGACATGATTCCAGACCAGCCCTTGTAGTGATCTGAAACAAAAAAATTTGAAAAATTCTCAATTAGTGAAGATGTCGCTATCGCGTTGATCTTAGCCAAAAAAAAAAAAGAAAAAATTCACAAAATGTCGTCGACATAAATTATCAATTATTTTTTATCCCTTTTTTTTGACCTTTTTGAATTTTTTAAAAATACTCCAAAGTAAAATTTTTCAAAATCTAAAGCAGACGCGATAGAGAGATATATAAAGAAGATTCCCACCAAATTTCAAAGGGATCGGTTGCGTAGAATTTGAGATATATTATGTCAACCACTAAAAAAAGTAGTTTCGAGAAAAACGCGTTTAAAGTTTGAGAAACAATTCTAGTAGAATAACTCGGATAATAATATTTAATACTTACTTTGGATTTTTGCGTAGTTCTTTCTGCTAATCGAGCTGTTCTGCCTTCTTTTGAAGAAGCAGAAGCTCGTAGTTGTGTGATTCGTTCCGATCAGCCGGCTCAGATGCTGCGTCACAAAATCTACTGTATCTCCGAAAATAATTCGAGTTTTGAAAAATCCATTCAAGGACATGTTCATAAGGGTCTAAACTTTGAAAATATGCAAAAAAAATCAATTTTTTCAAATTTCTAGACCAGAATATCCCCTTAATAAACTCATATTTTGTTAAAATATTATTTCCCAAATGAATATTTTGCTAATCCAATGTAATTTTTTAATTGAATAAGTATCTAAAAAAAAAACTTCTAAAAACGCAGTAATACTTTTTGCGATATTAATGGTTCACTGAAAAATTTACATAAAACATTTACATTAATTCAAAGTCATTTAATTGAAATATTAGATATTCAAAAATTAAGATTTTAAAAAATTAAAAAAATTCCCGCCTTTATTACCGACCAATCAGTACCAGACTGGAGGTGGAAACTTACTTCTTTGGTTAAGGGATTTTTACATTCACCCTGATAGCCAGCGCTTTCTCAGTAAGCGTTGACTTCCAGCAGTTACGGTTAATTTATACATCAAGTTGGCGGTAATTCTTCACTCAACAACAGTTGTAAGCAAATTGACGGAAATCTACGGCCGCAACTTGAATACAAGTTAGCAATTAAACTTGTAGTAAAATTTCCTTTCAACTTTACTACAATTTGACGGAAATACTTGTACAGCAAGTTTTGACGTCTATTTGCACAGTAAGTTATAGGTAACTAATAGGTAATCGCTCGCTTTGCCAACTCTTACCGACAAGTTTGCTTCAAATTGCGAACGTAGATTGACAGTAAGTTATAGGTAAGGTAGCTATCA